GCAGCATCAAGGCCTACGGTGATTTAAAGCTAAAGTTAAAGTCCCACTGATTGTCACACACCTGAGTGTGTGAAATTTGTTCTCCGCATTTGACCCATCCCCTGAGGGAGCGGTGAGCAGCAGTGGTGCCACGCTCGGGAATCGTGGTGGTAATTTACGGTGGCGGAGCGCATAAACAAACACTTTGGAGCAGTAGCGGTGCCAGGATTTTGATTGTGGGTGGGCCTCCAGAAAACTGGATGGGCCAGTTAAAATAAGCAAAAAACGGGTTCCCCTTTATCACCATTTCAGCACTTTTCTGCGGCATTGAGGACAGCGACGTCGGTGCACTGGTGTGGCTCCCTTGTGTCGCTATGTGCTCTCAAATCAAACTTTTTTGAAGGATTATTCGTTTACCTGAAGTGTCTTGAAACAAAATTCACCGCTGATTGTTTTCTTGATAGACTCTGATTTTTTATTTGGCTACTTTTTGTCCGACGATTGAGAGCGGTGACGCACGGTCTGTGTGGATGAACTTGTATGAACCTGAGTTGAAGTAACTTGAAGTCAGAAAGAAGGAAAACTGTTTTACTTTTACTTTTATTATTATTATCTTATTATGCCAACTGAAGAATTAAATTTGTTTATTTGGGTGTTTTAGCTCTTTTCTCTGGAGCGGAAACTGACGCAAATGAGCTCATTAATCAATGAGGGGAAAAATAACTTGATTCAAAGCAATGTGTCCTCGTTTTATAATAATTCCATCCAATGTCTGACTCAAACGGAAACTAAAACACAGTAGGCTGTAGAAGTCTGAATAAGTCCCTTTCCACTAGGGCTGGGTGATATGGACAAAAATTCATATCCCGATATTTTCAGGCTGAATAACGATAAACAATATACATCCCAGTATTTTCTACCGTGGGCTACACGGCTGAAGTGCCATGTTATTTTCCTTGCATGTGTTTTTCAGCAGCAGGGCAGGTAAAAGAAGTGTACCTGTTAGAGGTGCGCTGTTTGCAGAGGTGCAGTAAGAGCCTGTTGTCTGTGGCTCTTCATCAACATCTCACTGTGGCTGATTCTGCTTGTACTCTTCCTCCCTGCCATATTATTAGACTTGCCTTAATTGAAGAAAAGCTGCTAATAAAGTTTTGCTAATTCTGTAATAAACATTTTAATTCCTATAGATTCTTAAAAATAAAGGTCCCTTGTTATTTTGCTTTGTCCAAGCTTCAAATGTAGGCTGACCAAATGTCCTCTTTTCCCCGACATGTCCACTTTTCACGTCCCATCCGGGGCATCCGGGGCGTCCGGGGGTTTTTTATAAACTGATGATAATGTCCAGTTTTCCGTGTGTTTGTGTTAGAGTGCGGCACGGGCCGCATATTTCTGTCCGAACCCGAACCGAACCCGACATTATTTAATGACCAAAGCACTGAGTTTGTGTCATACAGTTGTTATGGTTACAGGCTATTTAACAGGCCGGGCGTGCGCCGTGGGTGCTCAGCGGAGAGGGAGACCTCCGTGTTTTAGACGGGAGCAGGAGGCGGGAGGTCCGACGCTTCCAGCGAGAGGAGAGGGAGAAATAAAACAAAATAAGATAAAATAGGAAAAACCTGTCTCCCTCTTTTATTTTATTTTCAGCGTTTAATCAAGGCAGAGGCGGGCGGCTGGAGGTCCGAGACTTCCAGCGAGGGGAGAGGTAGAAATAAAAAGCCAATGTGTGTCTGTGTGTGTTATGTTCAGGTGTTGTCACGTAAATAACAGTGCCCAAGCAATAAACAGGACAGACAATAGGATTTTATTTATTTTTACACTACATTTTCACTGAAAGCTGACCATATCCAACCCATGCCCGAATACAATTTATAGCTACATTTTTGACCAAACCCAGCCCGACCCGTCGGGTACCGTCGGGCTCGGATCGCCACACTCT